CTGAGCCAAAGTGGGACACTCAACCGACTGAGCCACCCAGGCGCTCCGCCCCTGGTGTTATTTTTAAAGAAGAAAGATGAGAAATTCAGGCCATGGTTTGGGACTGTGACTCAGGAACATTCTAGTAAAAACAACAAAACAAAAAATCCCCCAAAACCTTGGAAAACTTTCAAATGAGTCTGTAGAGAACCTTGTTTTCTTTAAAAAATTTTTTTTTTTCAACGTTTATTTATTTTTGGGACAGAGAGAGACAGAGCATGAACGGGGGAGGGGCAGAGAGAGAGGGAGACACAGAACCGGAAGCAGGCTCCAGGCTCTGAGCCATCAGCCCAGAGCCCGACGCGGGGCTCGAACTCACGGACCGCGAGATCGTGACCGGAGCTGAAGTCGGACGCTTAACCGACTGCGCCACCCAGGCGCCCCGAGAACCTTGTTTTCAACATGAGAAGCCAGCACAAAAAACTGGAGTCCCCTAGAGTCACCTGTTGGTGCGCGTGACATGAGCAGCTCAAAGCCGCACCTAGATCTGGGAGGCCCTGCCCCCTGGGCCCCACCTTCCTTTCTCCCACTGGAGGGCAGAGGTTGGTGGGGATGGCTCAGAGTGGGGTGACCCCCATGTCAGGGGACATAGGCAAGGACAGTGGCTGTTCTTTGGGGCAGAGACATTGTATGAGGTCATCATAGGAGGTGTTCAGATCTTTTGGGGCAAGACTGGGAGCCTCCTGGCTCTTTGGGCCCTGAAAGCAGAAGTAAGGCTAGTGACTAAGGCCAGTGAGATTTCAGCCACACGGGGTGGAACTTTCTGAGAGCACAGGAATTCTTGCCAGATGGCCAACAGCCCTTTCCAGGCGGACTGCCCTTTACAGTATATGATACTAACTTACACCGTCGTCTTTGATCTTCACCATGAGCCTGGAAACCCGGGCGAGGTAGCCTGTGGGGTTCCTTGCAGTTCTAGGCATCAGAGGTCCCACCTCTTAAGACTCTCCCTCCTCAGGCCAAATTCAGGCCGTACACATGCTTTTAGGCCCACGTAGTATTTTCTTTTTTTTTTTCAACGTTTATTTTATTTTTGGGACAGAGAGAGACAGAGCATGAACGGGGGAGGGGCAGAGAGAGAGGGAGACACAGAATCGGAAACAGGCTCCAGGCTCTGAGCCATCAGCCCAGAGCCCGACGCGGGGCTCGAACTCACGGACCGCGAGCTCGTGACCTGGCTGAAGTCGGACACTTAACCGACTGCGCCACCCAGGCGCCCCCCCACGTAGTATTTTCAAGAAGGTGGAATCGGTTGCCATCATTCAAAAATGGAAGGATGTCCCAGAAAGTCCAGACTTGTAGGTCTTGAGGGGCTGGAAGAGCTGGCACATTGGCCCGCCTTCCTGCCAGGAAGGTCACCTGCGTAGTGGCTGCCCCCGCAGTCCCCAGTCTGTCCCCGCCTCCAGGCAGGCCTCCCTAACCTGCCCCACACCAGCTTTCTGTTTCAGGATGTCTCTTGAAAAACAGGCTTCAGGCCAGCGCTGGCACCTGCTGTGCACTTGGGAGGGGTCTTCTCCTGTCCCCTCCTTTGGCCCCCTTGTCTGTAACCAAGGGGTTTCTCTTGCTCGCACACCTGTGCACCTGTGGGGGGGGGG